AGGAGGAGGAGGAGGAGGAGGAGGAGAAAGTGAAGAACATCTACAACAACAACAACAACAACAACAACAACAACAACAACAACAACAACAACAATATCATCATCACAACAGCTAGCAGTAGCAACAACAACAACAACAATAACAAGGACAAGAAAATCAAAGACAAAAAAAGAAGAACAAAAACAAAAAAGAAGGAGGAGGCGGAGGAGGAGGCAGAGGAGGAGGCGGGGGAGGTGCGGGAGAAGGAGGGGGAAGGGAGAGGGGGGGATGGGGTCAAAAGGAAATAAAAGGGTCAGAGAAAAACAGCTCTACACTCCCCGAGCCCTCAGAAATTTGCAAGAAACAAAAATATATTTTTAAGGAGTTCAGGATTATTCATGAGAACATTGTTCTGTTTTAGCGCCAGACCGGCACTTTTCTTTACGCCTTTTCTTTGTGCACAAAAATTGCTTTCGTTTCAGTGTCCAGAAGAAACGATGGGCCCAGCTTCAAGGCGGTGTGCGTGCCTTTGTTTGTTTGTTTTTTCATTTCATTTGTTTGTTTCTTTATTTGTTTGTTTGCTTTGTTTGTTTGTTTGTTTTTGTTTAATTGATTGATATATACGAACGATAGCTCGACAAAAGGAGCGAAGAGACACATTGGTGGATTGGAGAAAAAAAAAAAAGAAGGAAACTCGATCTCTAACACCCTGGAGATTCCAGCTGACCAAGCCAAAAAAAAGAAGTGTGAAAAAAAAATCCACATTTATTTCACGGATGCATTATTTTTTTTCCCTTTAGAAAAACGTTTTTTCCACGTGTGCTTATCATGCACAAGGATTGCTTTCGCCCCCTCTGTCCGGGACAAGTAATAGGCTAGCTTCGATTTTTGCAACGTTTTTTTTTTTGCTTTGTTTTTTGTTTTGATGCATGGTTATCTCCAAAAGCTTCCTTCGATCAGGACCTTCGTGTTTCTCGCCTTTAATATGTCTCTCTTTTCTAGGGGATTTTTTCCCAGTAACCTCTCTTTCTTT